CCTCCTTAGAGTAGTAACTGGGTGAATATCTTCTCATGATATGTGGCAGGGCTCAAGAAACCAAGCTAAATCATGCAACCATAAGTAAGATTGCTGTTCATTAATATTCCACTGGGGTGGGGAAATACATTCTGCCTACTATAGTGAACCATAAAGGTTATGTGGCAGAGGAAGGGTATGAAGAAGTGGAAATAATAATGCAATTGAGTATTCATACATCTTGAGTGTCCATTGAATTTAGGGTCATCATACTCGAAAGCTCTAAGTCTAGGGCTGCATTTGCTAATCTTCCAAGTGGATGACACATCTCCAACAGCAGAGAATAAAATAACACAAGATGAGGTGAGAGATGAATGGATAGATGTGTGCATGCATGCATATGCTAAGTATACAGAATCCTCTAGTTTAAAATGGGACCATGCCAAGAAAAATACCAAAAATTGTAGTGGTATTAATATGAATTGTGGATATTCAGAAAAGTGAGAAGATTAGAGAATTTTTTGTAGCAGAAATTCACTTGAATGATGAGTGAGAATTATTTTCCTCATAGCAGTGATGAATTTAAAGTGATTTTCAAAGAAAAATTATGTAACCTCTCTGTCATTGTTTGTTTATTTAGCTATCTTTTTTTCCTTTCCTATTTTCAGAAAGACTCTTAAGTACTTTTTTCTAGAATCCATTGTTGGCATATAAATTCTGGTGATGAACTATAAGCAGAAATCTACCAGCGTCTCTCAGGAAAAAGTTTCCTTTCTTGCAAAAACGAGACAGTTTACCCTTACCTTCTTCCTATATCTTCCACCTCTCTCTTTTTGCCTGGAAGAAAATATGTTGCTTAATTATAGGACAACTACTCTTCACTCTTAAGCGGAAAGTCTGAATAGTAGCAGAGAGGGTAATAATCTTGACAACAGTGAGCCAATCTATACTAGCCAGTAGTTGGTTCCTCTGATCTTGTTCTGTGAAACAAATAAAACCTCATGATGCTTGAGGTACTGTTAATCAGGCTTTCTGGTACTTCCATCTAAAAAGGTTCTAACTGATTTAAAGCTAAAGTCAAGATAATATCTACTTTAGGTCAAGAACAAATTATAAAACTAATCATTGCATATCACCGTATTGTATATGACACACTTTTGCCTGCTTTATTGAGTTACAAGATTAGAAAGGTTGCAGTTAGAGATAAAATTCTTGACCTTGCAAGTTAATCAGTGATATTAAATGAGACAATAAACTGGAAATTTCACTGTAACTGTTGAAATGCTAAGTAGACTTATGTACTACTGTTAGGAGAATGACAAGAAGCCATGACAAGTTTTGAGAAGGAGATTTCCTGAGTGTGTTTTCAGAATGAACTGTGAAGGATGAACTGAAAAAAAAAAAATTAGAATGGATCTGTGAAGAAACTCATTGGTGAATTAATACTCCACTGACAAAATAAGGGATTCCACCCAGGACGCACCAAGGAATATCAGCAAGTTAGCAAATAGGGCAAATGATATGAATTATCTCTTGTCAGACACTAAAACACAGGAAAAGATGTGATCCCAAATAAAAAGAAATAAATGAGGTGAGCCCTTAAGTAGCCCTGGTTTTATGCCTGGAACTACTTTTAAACCATGGTCCACATGGGAGAGCTAAGCAAAGCTGGGCTGAAAAGACAATGATTGTATTTGAGGAGTATGAGATGACCGGAATTGAAAAACTAGAGAAGAAAAATTACACATAGATGCCGGGGACCAGCCTCCGGCAAAATGTCGTGTCAGGGGTTCCTGAAAGGATGAGAGACGGCGTTGGCGAAAATGAAAGGACTGAGGGGAAGGGGATGAGGTAGAATGAGGAGACACTGACACTTGGTGAGGTGCTAGTATCTTCTGCCGAGAGGCTCAGCAGGTTCTTTATTTATACATTTTTTGCAAGCAATGAGATTACATTATCATGTGCATAGAAACAAAGCAGAAACAATCAGTGCATCTCTTTTTCTATGGGCTTTTGGCCACTACGTGCTCTCAGTAAGAAGGCAACCTTCAAGGTTAATAAAAAACTAAGCCTTACACTAAAACTCATTGTTTCAGCTAAACAATAACCTAAGACAGTAGATAACTGTCAGTACATCCCTATCAGCCAAAGCCTAAGCAAGAAAAGACTTTTTTTTTTTTATTCGCGTGGCCTTCAGCCGGGGACCGGCTGCTACTCAGCTATCAGAACTTTTTCTACCTAGAAACTCCTAACTTAAATAGCTTCATTTAAAAACTTTCCCAAGAAACTTCAAAAGAAGGCAAAAGAAGGACCCACTACAACTGTTGTGCTGGATTGCTTGTCAGGCATGCACAACAAACTGTCTCCCATTGTCAAGTGGGCCAAACTGCCCAACAACTAATTTCTAAACAGACAATTTTCTGTGCCATTTACTTACAGTATGCTGATACATATAATTTATTGCCTAATATATTTTTTGATAAATTTTTCTCTCTCTATGACCAAGAACAAAAAGCAAAGGGATGTCAGATCTTCAGCCCCATGGTATGAGGCCCTTTCTTTTAGCTGCTTGTCAGTATCCTATCTGGCTGGGGCAACAAGACCCCATGCAGCACATAGATTTTCAGAAGCCTCTTTAACTCCTGCCTGAATACTAATCTGCACATGGTCAAGTGTGACTCAAAGAGGCTAGGCAACAATGAGCTCCCAGGGGAAGAAGAATTACTGGGGAACCATAAACTGAACAACTACTGGAATTCACAGGGGAAAAGAAATGAGAACATATAGGACAAACAGAAAACAAATAAAGGTAGACTTAAACTCAACAGATCAATAAACTACATTAAATGTAAATGAATTAAATATATCAATTAAAAGACAGAGATTATCAGACTTTTTTAAAAAACAAACAAAACTATGTTAAATATACATATTAATATAAAGACATTGAGGGAGCAAAAATACAAATAGAGGAAATGGATACACTAATCATAAGCAAGGAGGAGTGGCTATATTTATATCAGAGGAAGTCAATTACAGAAGAAATACTACAAGGAATAAAAAGAAAGTTATAATGATAAAAGGGTCAATTCATAAAGAATCTTAACAGTCCTTGCCAGGACTCAGATATTCTACTCCTAGGTATTTGCCTAGAGGAAAGAAAGGATAAGCACCCTAAAAAGGCTTCACTTGAATATCCAAAGCAGCTTTATAACATCCAAAACCCAGAAATTGTGCTGAATAATTCATGTCTTCATCAACAAATGAATGGATAAATTATGGAATACTATTCAACAATAAAAAGGAACAGGAGCTACTGCGACAAAATATCTGTTGTAATTCTCAAAAACACGAAGTAGCCAGTGACAAAAGAATAGATGCCAGTTAATTCTATGAAGTTCCAGAACAGCTTAAACTTGTCTGTAGTGATGTAAATTAATTCACAATTTGGAGACGTGAAAAGGAAACAGCCTGAGGGAATTTGGGGGTTGTGGAAATGTTCTATACCTTGATTGGGGTCATTGTTATAAAAGGGTATGCATTTATCAAGACTCATTAACTATACTTCTAAAGTGAAAAGCTGTTATCTCTGTAAGTACAACTCAACTAGTTGACTTAAGAAAAAAAAAGAATTTTAAGGAGAGTTAATGGGGTAAAACACCACAGAGAAGAGGGATTACTGACAACTGAAAAGAATAAGTTTCATTACAAGGAAATTATTTGTGATTTTAGAATACACTTTTATTGAACAGATCGGTAAATTCCAGGATGCATGGCATTTCAATCATGTTTCTATAGAATAAATTTAAATAGAAAAAACAGACACTTCTATTCCAATTAATGCTTCAGCCTTTAAGGCGCCTAGGAATCACCTTGTTATAATGCAGGTTGTGAGTCAGAATATCTTGGATGCGACTAAGATTCTTCATTTTTAATAAGACACCAGGTGATGTAAATGTTGCTGATTCATCTACTACACTTTAGCTAGAACACGGACCACTTTTGTGGTTTATAAACTGGGTCGGTTGGGTCTAGAAGTTCCCCAGACCTCTCTGCATCCACTCCTACAACAGTCCCAGGTAGACTGCAAGCCCAGACCCCCTTCTATTTAAAAACGTAACCAGCACCGGTGCTTATGATGCTGCGGGAAATAACAGCGATTTTACATCAGTTGCATTCGGTTCAAGCCCTGGTTCTGATTTTCATCAACGGATATTCCGAGTTACCCCTAAACTGCAGAATTAAAGAACACTTCCCGTTTCTCCTCCCCAGGCTGCTGTGAAAACGACAACAGAAAACGTAAGCGAAAGTATCAGACGAGCTACCACCCCAGGCGGGAGGCGGGGGGAGAATGGCTGGAAATGTCAGGCACAGGGGGCTAAAAGGGAGTTTACGAAAGGGGCGGGACCTCAAAATAAGAGGTTGGCTCCGGGATTATCCGCGTGGGCTTGCAGGGACTCTACCACATTCCACGATGTGGGGCGCCTCATTGAAAAAAAAAAATCTGTGAAATATAAGCTTCTGTATTTAAAATCGCCCCTAAACGGTGAAACTTACAAAATGAACTTTCCGGTCCCCAAAGGCCTCCGCGGCGGGCGCCTAGCTCGCAGGGCGGGGGGCCTACCGGGCTTCTGTCCCCCCATTTCCCCCCAGGTCCCCCCGCGCGCGCAAGCCCCTTTCTCCGTCCCCTCGTCACTTTCCTCCCCCGCCCGCGTCCCGCCCCGGGGCAGTAGTTTCCACTACGCCGGAGGGGGTGTTAGTAACCGACTCCTCGATCTGCTCCCCGAGGAGGGGGTGTCTGAGCTGCCGGGCTCCCCAGAACCACGACAGGCCCGAGCCGCGGGGCGCGGAGACGCGAGACGGCGCGAGCCGAGCCGGCGGCGTCGGTGTGGGGGGGACAGACGGGGGCTGCAGCCCCGGGGGGCGGCCGGCTCGGGGCGCCCCCCCTTCGCGCCCCCCGCGGCGCCCGTTCGCGGTGGCACGGGCGGGAGGGGGCGGGGCCGGCGCGCCGGGGCCGCCTGCGCTGCTGCCTCCGCAGCGGCCGGAAACAATAGTGGCGGAGCCGGGAGCCGCGAGCCGCACGGTAAAGCCCCTGCGCCCCTGCGCTCCCCCACTGCCCCCACTGCCCCAGCCGCCCCGCGCCCCCCGACACCGCCGCCAGCGCGCCCGGATCCCGGCGTCTCTCCTGCTGCTTCGCGCGGGGCGCCCCGACGGGCCAAGGGACCGACCGAGGGACGGAGGCGGGTTCGCGGCTCCCGGAGGAGCGGGCGCGCGCCCCAACGCCGGGGTGGGTTGGGGGTCCCGTGGCCGCCGGACGGCGGCTCCTGGGGGTACGAGGAGCCCGGGGCGGGGCGTCGCGGTGCTCCCGCCAGCGCTAGCTGGCCGCCGGAACCCCCCGGCCGGGTGGTCACCCCAACCCCGGCCGTGCGGGACCCGCACCGGGGAGCCGCTGCGGGCCGGGGGTGCGGGTGCCGGGGGCACGGCCGGGGCGCCCGCCCGCCCCGGTGTTCGCGTTTCCACGTGCATTTCCCGGCCGCCCACCCCGACGGGACGGCGGGCGGCGCCGAGTTAGCGCCGCGCGTCCGCGGGTGCCGGTGGAGTTGGTGGAGCGGGGTCCCGAGCGGGGCGTCCTCCCGCGCCGAGCGGCCCCGGGCGGGTGCTGGGACCTGGTCGCTGAGAAGGCCTCGCGGAGCATGTCCTTGCCTAGCGGGGGGCTTGGGGGGGACCTCGCTCGCGTACCCCGAACTGCCTTTCTCCAGATCCCCTTTACTGAATGAAATCTGGGATTAAAGAAAAGGCACCCGGGCTGAATGCATCTCCCGCGCGGCTCCAAGTTTTAGTGGCTTTAAGTCTTTGCGCACTAGAGGTAGGGTCGTCAAGTACCAGCCTGGGATGCTTTTTGGAGAGGACGGTGGCTTTATAGACAGCGAACAGCATCCCTCGGGGTTCCTAGAAGTTCTGACATTGTCGTAACATAAAGTTCTTGAGATTGCGCAACTTTCCTCTTCGGTTTCTTCAGGGGCACTATGAACGATGAGGAGCAGTTTGTCAACATTGATTTGAATGATGACAACGTTTGCAGTGTTTGTAAGCTGGGAACAGACAAAGAAACCCTGTCCTTCTGCCACGTTTGTTTTGAACTAAATATTGACGGTAAGGGCACCCTATACGTTCATTTTATGGCATGAGATTGTCACACAACTTTATGCTGCACTCGTTGTGAGGTAGAGCTTAAATTTCTTGAATGACTGCAAATTGTGCCTGGAGTGAAATGTGGAGCTCTCCTAGATTATGGGGGTTTCTGGAAACAAAGCTGACTTTAGCACCTCTATTATTAAAAGCTTATTTTTTTAACCTCCATGGCACTGACGCCATTTTTTGCTAAGACAGAAATATTGACTGGGAAACGTTTTCTGGTTTAAAAGCCTATTCGGTTGTCAGATTTTAACAGGTGGGTGGGGGGAGGAGACTCAGTATGTTTTTCTAATATTGAGAGCTAAATAAACTGAAGGGACAAATGTAATTTTAGTCCTTTGGCCTACCTGCTAGGTCTTGAGGTGAGCCAGGACTCTATCTTATCTGGAAAGCATTTTTAGATTTTTATGTGACCTCTTTTTCAGTGCTCACATATATACCTTTAATAATCTTTTTTAATTTAAAAGGAAAAAATTTTAAAAATATTTAATAGTATCTTTAAGAGTACATGGAAAAGTTCTACAAATACTAAGAAGTAATCTTTATATTGAAAGTATTTGGGTTAAGTGTCTATGAATATCATTAGTTTCCCTCCAAGAAATATATGGAATTTTTTTTTATCTTCACGTTATCATGATAAAACTCTGGTTTTTGAAAACATATTTATGGCTCACTATAAAGAATATTCCTGCCATTAGAGAGTTTGCCTGAAATTTGAATTTTGATTGTAACAATTCAGTAAAGATTGTTAGACCTTTAGATTTTGAAGTTTCCAAACAGTATTTTATTCTTTTTCTTGGATTATTTATGTAGAAATTCTCATCGCCTTTACTTTCCTATTTACTAAGCAGGAGATATGAGATCTTCTCATTGTAGGAAGAACATATACATTAGTATTTACTTTGAGATTCGTTGTCTTTTAGAAATTGCTGTAGGCACCAAATTAACATCTTTAGATTTTCCATAATGAAAGTCAAAATTATAATCTTAAGTAGACAAGTAAAAACCTGTAGTTAATTACATGATATTCATCTTCCATTTGAGATCATATCGGTTATGACAGTTTGCCATTATACTGTTTAGAAGAATTGTAGAGGCTGATTATGATAATTAATAGGCGATCATTGATTTCCTATGGGTTATACATAGTACATATAATGCTGGCTTTAATGACTATAGTAATTAGAACTAATTTCATTTTAAAAATCTGATGCTTATGTAGTATTTAAATTTCTAATTCCTTAATCATGTAGAATGAAAGATCTGAATTTTTGCTTTTTGGACATAAGTTACTGTTATGCAATCTTTTACCTTGTAGATTTTTTTAAAGATTTATTTATTTATGCATATAAGAACTGGGGTACAGGCCAGAGGTGTAGGGGTGAGAGGATTCACCAGAGATAGAGTGGGGAACAGAATAGACAGACTGACTGAAATACACTGCTGAGGGGAGCAGTGGGGGAGGCAGGAGAGGCCTGCTGCGCCATGTGGGTTGCTCCCTGACCAGAGATCAAACTCAAAAGTGCTGTAGAGGCTGCAGATAGCTTCATAGTGTTGTGCATAACCCCTTGCACTACCAGGGAGACCCTACCTTGTAGATTTTAATTTGAGATGGACAAGGGCATTGGCAGTTACCCAGTGCAAACCTGTGTTTTGCATATTGAGGGGAACTGAGGACCAGGTAGTTGGACTGCCCACTGTTGCTCTAGTAGTGATAGTGAGCGATTGTTACATGGCAGACACTGCACTAAATAAGCACCTTACATAGATTATCTTATTTAACTCAAGATAAGTCTTATCCAACTCAAAACAACTCTTATCCATTTTAAAGATGATGGAACTGAACCTTCAGAACTGAAATGTGACTTTGAAGTCACACAGCAATAAATGGCAGTGCTGGGCTTTGAAGCCTAAAGATCTGATTCTGGTGTATGTGATCTTATGTAATTCCATTGATCTATTTTCAGTACTCATTTTAATTGCTAGGGCTAATATTAGAAACCTGTCTTTCTGAATATCCTAACTGGTTATCCTTACTATGCAGTCAGCTAATTTTTCCTAACCAGAACTTCCTACTAAATTATCGCTAATAGTTTTTACACTGTGATGAAATTCGACCGCAGAAACCTAAGCTGTCATAATTGCTTTCCTAGTCCTTTCTTATATGCCTTTTAATAGGTTCTCAGTCATTAGTAGGAGATATACAAATATTTCTCAGGTACTATCTTTATAAATATTTTATCTCTGATAACAAATTGGTATATAAGCATGATATAAGTCCTTTGTTTTTGAAATAATAGTATTTAAATTAGAAATATTTCATTTTAATATTCCTCCCACTTGCAAGGTTTTATATCTTAAAATGCCAATTAAGCCTTCATGAGAAAAAACCCTTTAAGAAAAACATTTTTAGAAATTTCTTCTTGATGTTCTCAATACTTGCAAATAAATATTTTTCTGTTTACTGCAGTGATGAGTTAGTGCATTTAACCATTTTAATTTAATGAAAGGGATGGAAAGGGACATGCCAACAGTCTTTCCTGCCTCTAAATAGTCCTTAAGTCCCACCTAACAATTTCCTATACATTTTACTGCCATTAAATCCAGTAAAAGCTCCTCCAAATCAGTGTTTTACAAAGAAGGGGACAGTGAACATTGAGTAGGCAACTAGCAAAATCAGCCATAGGGAGGCCTTTCTAGTAATTAAAGGCTTAAACTACATTGAGGAAAAATTAAGCTGCAGTTAAGACCAGCAAATTATGCTCTGATGATTCTTCTAACCTTCGGGATTGAACTGGAAGGATTTTTAGCAAACAGATTATATTCCGAGGATGGTTGTATAGCCAGAACTCAGATGGACTTGAAAGCTGTTTTCAGGTTTTTCACCCATCTCTGTAAGTAAAATGTCATGATTAATACTAATGTTCATAAAGTGGTTCCAGTTTTTTTTCTTCTGTTAGAAACTTGTGTGAATAAGCAAGGTTGATACTGTAAACTTAGAAAAACTTCTCCCTGCTTTCTCCCAACCTCTGAGCATAACAAACTAACATGGTCATTTCACCTTCCTCAGTCCCTTTTCAGGGATGATTGCTTTTCTGCACTCAGACCCAGCTGGGGATCTTGATCCTGCCACTTACTAGTTGGGTTTCCTTAGCAAGATGCCTTAGTTTATAGTGTCACACTGATACCCAGTTGTTACCAGTAAGAGCAATTTCATATTTTCATTTCTTAATCTTGAAATTATTGTGCCAGGAAGTGATTCAGAAGGTTGAACTCCAGTTGTTGCCATTCATTCAAAGAATACCTGACAGTATAAGCATTGGGGCTCTGATTAGGTTTGCTCTTTATGCTCAGAATGAAGCTGCAGAGCAATTGAAGGATAGTGATTAGGAGCAGAGTTTCCAAACTGAGTCCAAAATTCCAGGTGTGGGACACACTCCAGAGCCTGACTGTCTGGATTCCAATCCCCACTTACTGACTGGGAGACCACATGCAGTTGCCTTCTAAATTATTAGTGTGGCTAAAGGTATAGACCCACCTAAAAAGGAACTGATTCATATGCACTTCCTCTCATTAGTGATAAGCATATAGCTAAATATCTGATAGAAATGACTAGGAAGATTGGAAACCTTTCCTTTACCAACTGATTTTTCAGCTAAATTCAACATTTATTATAGCTAACACAGAGCTTGCCTATCAGGAATGAGAGGTAAGTAGCGGTATCTGCCTTTTATATGGTAAAACAAAGGCTGTGGGTCAAGTTGAGTTTGCCCTAAAGTAGCACTGATAGTAAGCAAGTCAGAAGGGGTTCAGATCCCAGTCTGTGATGTTAGAGCTTTTGTGATCACTCTGGAATGCTGATCTTTTCTGATTTTAGCAATTGTAGACTAGTCCCTCTGTGATGATGGCAGTCACTTGTGGGTGATTTTCCTAATACCTCTGATTAGTTCTGATCGTGTGCTTTATAGTCTCCTTTTTTCCTGCGTTTATCTCTTTTGTTGGTATGCTCATTCCTAGGCCTGCCAGCCACACTAAGCTCTCTGGGCTTTCATGACCTTTTTTATGCTGATAACTAGTGATTCTCCACCTGCCTCCTTCCCCTCAAACTGTTATATATCTAATTTTTAAATATCTAATTTTTAGATTATCTTCACTTGTGTAGCTCATAAAGCACGTCAAAATATATGTCTAAAGCTAAACTCATTTTACCCTTCCCATAGCTCTTTTTGAAATGAGTAAATAAGTAAACAAATCCCTTCAGCTTAATCCCCGCGACTAAAAATATCAGGGTAGGAAGCGTAGAGAAGGTAAAGATCCTTGCTTAAAGTATCTGCTAGGTAACCTCACAGAAGAACTTGCCTACCCTAATTCTTAAAAAGTCACTTTCTCAAAGCCTCCTTTCTTGCCCTCCACTGCTCCTTCCATCCACCACACTTCCTACCCCATGTGCTTTTCCTCATAGCATTCTTCTCTTCCTGCCATACGTTAGAATTTTCTCTCTCCCCCCTCCAAATTTGTAATGTCATGAAAAAATGGATAAGTCTGTTATACTTACTAGTATATACTCAGTAGTAGAACAAGGACTGCCAAGAATTAATGAATGAATAACTAATGAATCAATCTAAAGGAGTCTCTGGGGACTGTCCTTCATATTTTTTTTTTCCCTTAAACTCTTTTTTTCCCCTGAAAGTGTTATATATTTCTGCCCTTTCATAGAATTTCTTGAGATCTTTCTAGAATCTACTTAAAGTTTTGTGTGTCTTATGAATAGAGAACTTTTTAAGCACATTCAAAAATATATATATAATGTAGCCAATAATACTGACAGTGATAATCTGGTTATCTTTCTCAGTCAAGAGGATAAAAAACAGACATAGTATTTTCCCCCAAATACAGAGCAGGAAAGGACTTACGTTTAGATTGAAGTTTCTAGATTTTTGTTTTACACATGGCATTATGGAACACCCCATTATAGTGACGTGCATTCATAATGAAGAACCAAAGGCATTTGATGACCCTGAGTGCTTTTTAAACCAATGATGAAATTAAACCAATGTTAACCTCAATAAAAATATTTAAAAATCAGTGATAAAAAAGTATGTTGCTTAGATCAGTGATTTAAGGTTGAAAACAAAGCAGAATATACACTCAGAATATCTTACCAGTAAGATCATAATTATAAATAAAATGATTTGTTAGTGTACATTAAAATGGCATTCTTGTTCAAATTCATAATTCATCCCAATGTATTGACAAAGGTGAAATGTTTTATGAGATATATGGAAACAAATCTAGATTGAAATCTTAAATACTTAGGTCAAAATTATCTCAGTGAATGGATGTACATTTCAAGACTAATAATTTGTAACTGTTACTAGAATTGATAAAATCAGCCTCCCCAGTGGCGCAGCGGTTGAGCGCTGGCTTGCGAAGCTGCCCGCAGCCTCTGCAGCACCGGTTCAATCCCCGCCCGCCAGGCGAGGGTCCCACATGGCACGCAGACCTCTTCTGCCGCCCGCTGCTCCCCTCAGCAGTGTACTTCGGCCATCTGCCTGTTCTGTTCCCGGCTCTGGTGAATTATCTCACCCTCCCAGGCTTCTGACTGTACCCAGTGCTTGTATAAATAAATAAATAAATCTTTAAAAAAGAAAATTTATAAAATCAGTTGCCCAGAAATAAAAGGTAATTTTTCTATTACAAATAATACTGACCTGTGAAGAAAGAAATCAAAGATAGGTTATTGCTCTACTCTGAAGGAAGTCAAATATCACTCTCTAGTTGGGGGAAATTAGTCCAACTGCCAAGAGTTTCAGGCATTTAAACATTTAGATCAGTGGTTTACCCAGATTAATATTCAGATATTGTTTGTCCGTTGTTGTGTAATTTTATTTGCATTATTTTATTCTATTCAATACAACTCTGAGATAGGTGCTGTGTTCAATTTGCTGAATAAGGAAAGTGGAGCGCTGGATAACTAATCCAAAATTACACAGCTCAAAAGTTCTAACCCAGGGACATCAAGTCCAAAAAGCAAAATTGCCTAAATCATTTTTGCTTCCAAAGAAAATGACATAGACTTGTAAGAATTTAGGAGATATTAAGTAACTTTTAGGTAGAGTTGAAGATGAATTGTACAGATGTGAATATTCAAGCAAAGAAAAAAATTTGGGTTCCTAATTGAAAATAGTTTTAACCCATGTCATTGTATGATTAATACACATTTGGAGGGATATCCAAAATGTACACTACTGATGAGCTGTGTGACAATAATCTGAAGGACTGGATGGCAGAAAAAGGAAGACCTAGGAAGATAAGGCACATATAAGACAGTCTTGCCAGTTACTGCTCAGAAGAGACAAGGAAGTTGAGCTGCAGACTGACATTTGCGGAAGAATCATGCAGGTGTCAGCTGGTAATGAAGCAGTGGTTCTAACATTGCTGTTCCCCATCCTTCAAGGCATCCAGGTAATAGAGACTAACATACTTAATGATTAGTCTTCCACTCGCAGAACGAGTTTCCAAGTAAGTGGAAGCAGACAGTGCAAACACAAGTGAAAATTTCAGGATTAGTTCTGTTTCCGTTAACTAAGTGTCTGATAATTAGAAGAACTTTAAATCTCATAATTCTCAGTTAAGATAGTTTCATGTTTACAATCTTTTTTGTAAACAACCTTTTTTCTGTCATCTACTCTTCTTAACTCATTTATTTACCCTCTCCTACAATTGTTTTACTTTATACGGACTCATCATCTTGCCTACAGTTATCTTCTCTGTAATTTGGCAAATTGACCAAAAAAATGATTCGAGTGGCAGAAATGTTATGACTCGCATATTTAAAAGAAAAAAAAAAAAGGAAAAAACTTTCTTTTTCCCTAAACCATAGTTCTTTAAAGAGCAGTTTTTATTCAGGCTCTTTCTCGCCTCCCATTTTATTCTTAAGTACCCCTACAATTTGCTAACCTTCTTTGCTTTTACCAGTGACCACCTGATTGTCAACACAACAAATAATTTTGTGTTCCTTGTCATTTTCAAAATCTGACATTTAACATTTTCCTCTCCTTTAAATAGGTTGACTCCCTGAATTCTATAGTAAAATCACTCAGGCTTATGATTTCTGCCCACATTTCTGTCTTCTTAGGTTCATTGCCTATTACATGCTCCTGAAGTCTTAGTGATTCATTGAATTCTGTCCTCGCCTTTCTTGTTCTCATACTTCACCTTTTTCTCTCACTGCAAGCTAACAGAAAGTACTCCACAAACATGTCACCAGGCCAAACAGCTAGACCTCGCCATTTAGATATTCTAAAGGTGTCTTGAATTTAAGTTTCTTAACTAAATTTATCTCCTTCCATGTACACATGCATTTTATATTCCTTCAGCATTGGTTCACATAGAACTCCAGGCTGTGTGCCCTGGAAATTTTGATTGAGTAGGCCTCAGGCTGATTCTAGGGATTGCATTTTAACAAGAAATACAGGTGGACTAATGACCAGTCTTAGAAAAACTCTCCTTGGTGAATTAATATATCCAGGCTCTTCAAGATTTCAAGTTGTACAGACACGGTGATAAGTTTGGACTGTAATCTTATGCTAGGCCCTGCTTTTCAAGCTGTGTGCTCTGACAAGGATAGTTTTCCAGTTTTCAATAGTAGATTAGCCTGTGAGGGCCTCCCTGGTGGCACAAGGGGTTAAGACACAACCTGTGACACTATCCACAGCCTCTGCATTACAAGTTCGATCCCCAGCTGGCCTGGGAGCTACCCACATGGCTCAGCAGATCTCTCCTGCCTCGCCCGCTGCTCCCCTCAGCAGTGTATTTCAATCAATCTGCCTGTTCTTTTCCCTACTCTGTCTCTGGTGAATCCTCTCACCCTTCCACGTCTCTGGCCTGTA